TGAATAATGAGAACAAAGTACAAGAAAAAAGGCAATGAAGTAGAATCCATCTACGGATGGGAATGGAAATGTAAAAAGGAGTAAATATACCACCAATAAGTGTATTACTAATTCTTCTCCTCGTTCAAAAAGTATGCAGCATTGATACACACAAACATACCGACACACTCCTAGAAGAAGGACGTCTTCTGTCAGTTGACTGATAATTTCTAAAAAAATCACGAACGACAAGTTTATAGCTCACAACATTGCATAACAACCTCTGCATATTGCCTTCACAATGCGACATTTGCTCGCGCCACATCCAAATATGTATTACGGTTATTACAGTTGTCATCGTCGTGGCTGGAGTTCACAAACGAAGATGTGAAGGAATATACTCATGCTTTTTGCACGCGCGGTGATGGCTAGGAAGATTAATGCGGAATAGATAAGTTCGATTGCAAAAAGCACAGTGGAAGTCTTTTATCGGGAAAAAACCGAAATATTTCTAACATAAAAATAATATCACTACTATGTAGCATCAAGGATTTTATAAGAGATCAAGTAGGAAGGGATCAAAGTTATACGAAAATCGTTTACTAAAAACGAAAAACAAACAGCAGTATCTCGAAAAACTTATGCAGCTCCAACGAGACATGAAGAAGTCTCACCAAAACTATTTCATGAAATAGATGAAACAGAGGGACAAAATAATCATTTAATACGTGCTGTGCCAAAGGTGGATATCTCAAAATTCAAGGAGCTATTCGAGAATCACCTGAAATATGTTTGACAATCGAAGAAACAATCAAACCAGGCCGAATCAAGAAACTGCTATGGATCAAGAATGATGAATTGGAGTTACCTCCACTACTGTATTGCATGAAAAACTGAAGAAGCACCTCGACCTTCATGGAAAAGGACCACTGAATCGGATGAATCGGATGAGGTCGAGAATTCACTGGAGAAAACTATCATGAAATCTCCTTACAAGCAAAGCTCATCTGATCATAATCAGTTCACAAAACTTCGCATGCTTCAACGTCAACAAAAAGCAGTTTAACTGGTTCTACAAAGGAGGCTGCATCAGGCTCCAAAAAAGAACGATAAAGTATCATCAGTATTATCATCTTCACCAACTAAGTCTTCCAAAAAAGGCATGGCAAACGTACCGATAATAGACAGAATCAAGATACCAACAAGAGAAGATATTGGACCATATCATTATACGGAAAAAACCGGTGCTACGGACAAAAAACCAGCAACGAAGAAAAATTCTACCAGCTCGAAGGAAACTTCGACATCTAATAGTGAAAATTTATTGAACGCGGTATCAAGACCATTCGGAGCCAATCTTTCCATAACCGGTCAAACAACTATCATTGGTGCGGATGATATGAAAGACGAATCAAAGGTAGCACCAACCAATCGACACTTTGTTTGGAGGGACAAAGCTCAATTAAAAGTAACAACAGGTCGAGAAAGTGACGAAGTATTCGGTGACAGGACGACTATTTCTGCCAATCTTAAAACGATTGCTGAGAAAATTGATGGATGGTGTGCATTATGTGGTACTGATCAACAATACTTTATGGAATCAATCCAGAAGATCGATGAACAAGAGAGACCCATGTCGTCACGAACACAGAGTTCAACGAAACAATTTGCCCTTCCGCAAACTCAGTGATTACTTCCTGCAAGTATCAAACTCCTCCTCCTGAAGATTTCAATCTCCTTCAGTTGAGAATGTCGAAAAAAACGAAACATTTTTAACATAAAAATAATATCGATACTGTATAGATGTGTAGTTCAACTCGTATCGTAAGATATTGTAAATCGACTCATGTTGGTCACCAAGTTTGAAGTCAAAATCAGCATAATGTAAAGGATCTCAGGTCAGTGTCGGCATGTTGTAAAGAACTTCTGATCATGAAGGGGTAAATCAGTTTTAACTTTTTGGATTGTTGTAAACAAACTCTCACTATATTAGAGATATGAACGGCAATGGAGTGTATTTTTGGATACCGACTTCTCAACTAAGCAGCGCACAGCAAAATCTCTTTAACTATATCAACAAGGACTTCAGACTCAGATAAGTGATCGATACCGATTTGTTATTCGCTGATATCTTTTCACTGATTTTACTTGTATTAAGAAAATAAATATTTCAAAGTGTACAAAAAGCTTTCGCATAACCAGTCGTAGTTGCCAACCGATATAACTCCTACACAACGCACTTTCACAAAACACTCAATAGAGCTCCTCTAATCATATCAACTAATAATGACAATGATCAGGATGAATATATATTCCTATTTCCCATTTATAAACTAAATGACAAGGAAACTTATCAAGTATTGATTAAATACTCGTAAAACTCTGAATATATTTTAGAAAATATGGAGTATTTAGAGAACGTATATAAAGATAACATACTTCCTCCAAAAATATAGAAACTAGAACTTCACATGAGGAAGAAATTTTGTTAGTCAATGAACCGGAAGTTCTTCGTGTCGCCGATTTTCTTCAGTCGTGACAAAAACTGAGGGTTCTTTCTGCCTCTTTAGTTGATAGTACCTCGAACTTGGGTAATTAAACCTTTTATTACGATAAACTTATTAATACAACAACGAACTTGCGAATATGACATTGATACAACAAATTAATAACGAATACACACGAACAAAAAAGACCAATCACGCCCGACACTTATATCCAACCGACCTCAGTGAAACACATTTGAAAATATGGATTAGTGCTCAGGAGAGGGTCCTTGTACCGTTTTATGATTACAAGAATTAGTATCCTTATGGAGCACCCATTGGTGTTGGGTTCTTTGTTAGAACAAATGTAAGACGATATGAGCATATAAAACAAAGATGTCTGGCTTTCAAAAAAAAGGGAGATTATTGTCCCTTTGTTTCTGCTCGCGATATCAGCGACACTCCCGAGGCAAATGTGGTCTGCACCTTATCCTCGGTTGGAAATCTCGAAAGGATAGAAGTGTCCCACTGCTCTCACTAGCTCTTTTCCGTTAGTTATTCTTAAAACCGCTGATCGACATCTACCATCTTTGGCCCTTATGAGTCTGTCGATTCTTCCTATTCTCCAGGTATTTCTGGGACAGTCTCCTTTCAACAACACCAGATCATCAATTTCGGGTTCCCGTCGAATACGGCTGCGAGGCCCTCGGTGTTTGTGTTGAGCTCGTTTTCTTAGCTCTTCTAGGTATTTTTCTCGCCATATTTTCCATAGATGATCAAGTCTCTTGCATGTGGTCATGTATTGATGTTTCAATTCCTTCGTTTGTAAATTTTCTTCCCCGCATATCGTCTTGTCCTTTCTTCTGTTAAATTTTCTCCTCGAGCTGAGCCTGGATTCAAAAAATCCCCAGGTTTTAACACTAAACCTATTTCTTCCAGGTCCATCAAGGGTCTTTTATTGATAATCGTCTCAAGTTCAATGACTAAAGTTATCAATCCTCTATTATTAAGAAGCTTTGTACCGATGGCTTTTCTTAGAGATCGTTTAACTACTCCAACCATTCTTTCGTAAACGCCGCCCTGCCAAGGAGCGCCTGGAGTAATGAATTCCCACTCCGCTGTTTCATTTTCCGCTGTACTTAATTCTACAAGTACTTTGGAAGCTGCTATAAGGTTCTTTTGTTTTCTTCGGCTTATAAATATTCGGAATGCCTGTACAAATTGTTCAGTAGACATAGTTTCCACTACTTCGAGATGCACAGCTCGAGTGGCTAAACATGTAAACAGAGTCACCCATCGTTTGGCATTGGCATGATCCTCCTTTATTAGAACTGGGCCAAACAGGTTTAAACCAACTGTTTCGAACGTCTCGTTCCTACAACTCTAGCAGCCGGATAAGGAGGAAAGTCTGGTTGCTCAAATGGCGTAGCCACCCACATAGTACACCTTTACAAATATTTCTCAAAATTTTCTTGATATATGACCGCCCATGCGGGATCCAATACCGTTGTCTCATTTTGGACCAGGTGTAGTGCATGCCCGCATGAAATAATTTTTCATGGTAATGCTTCACGATCAGTTCCGCTATCTTTCTTCTGCTGATGAAATACGAAAAATCCTCAATTCGAGGCATAGCCTTTCTAAGTCTTCCAACACAACTCCAGATTCTATTCTGGTCTTTTCTTAAAACCCAGTGTTCGATTTCCTTTTGCATTATGTTTAACTGTGTCATCTTGATTATCAATTCTATTACCTTGTCATACTCATTAGATGCAAAATTCTCTCGGGAGAACCTTCTCTTTCTTATCTCCTTCTTCTCCTTTGACATCGCAAGGAATCGTAAGACGTATAACATCGTTCTTATCAACTTAGACAGTGATGAGAATCGTGACTCATTCATTAATGCCGTAACTTGATCTGATTGCATCGCTTCTTCCATCAATCCCATGGCCATACACACACTTGTGATGTTTCCTTCCATAACTTTATCCTCGAGCCATTTTTCCTTCGGCTCCCATAACCATGATGGTCCATTCCACCACAACGAATTATCTTTCAGTTTACCTGGGAGAAGTCCTCGTGAAGCCTGGTCTGCTGGATTACTTGCTGGTCTTATATGACGGAATTCAATTTCTTTATTTCTTCTTATCCCATCAATTCTGTTTGAGACATATCTGGATCCTACTGGCGGTTTTCTTAACCAGTGCAGAACACAAGCGCTATCAGTCCATAAATATGTTTTTTCCACTTCGATTTCTCGCTTAATAAATTCCAGTACTCTTACTCCAATTGTAACGGTGAGTAATTCTAATCGAGGAATATTGGCTGATTGATTCCTGCTTTCTCGTTTTGGAACTAATCTTGTCTTTCCGTGTATCAGTTGTGGTTTGGATAGAATGATATTATTTCTGCGTGCATATACTACTAGTCCCACAGCTCTTTGGGATGTGTCTACAAACATGTTATCTCGGAGCACTCTTGCGACGTCCATCGAGATACTTTTATGACATTCTGTTGGTTAAATGCCTTTTCTAACTCCAAGTAACGTCTCGTTTCTTCAGGTTCTAATTTCTCATCCCAGGACACACTCTTCTTCCATAAGTCTTGAACCAACAGTTTCCATGGGAGTATGATCGGACATAATAATCCCAATGGATCGTAAATGGGAGCATAAAACTGTAATATCTGGCGTTTGATCTGAAGGCCTTCTGGGGATCTTCCATCTCCAAGTAACTTATCTTTGATATTATTCCATTCGATTCCTAACAGTTTAGTAGCGGTCTTCTTTGTTATTTCTTGCTCACTATCCATCTCAATATCATAGTTCGCATGAAATTCTCTTACGTGCATCTTGGCTTAAAGAG